TTAAACCGTCCTGCTTGCCTTTCATCCTTGGAAGATGAGTTATGGGATCTTGGTTTATTTTGGACTTGCATCTGGCTATTAATGAATCTTGTTTGTTGGGCAACAAAACCAGGAACTTAAAGGGAAAGTGCTTAAAGCAAAAGGACGACAATTTAAGGCTGGAGGTGGACATAAAGAGTTGCCCTTTGGACTCCACTTACTGACTCGAGGTGGAATAGCAAAATACTGTCCTGTAGTATTTTTCTTCATCTGAAGCAGGTTTTAATTAACAGTGCTGGGAGAGAGAATGGACTTTATTGTCCTTCTCTGCCTGTATAAAGCTGCCATTCAGTTGCCTTAGACCCAGAATTGTGCTTACACTCTTGTGATGAAGTCCTAATTCATCATGCAAAGGGGTTATGCCCACAGTCAGTTTTGTTTTTGGTATAGATGCAAAGGATGCTTCCAGACTGTTGCTCCTTTTGGGTGGGATTCAGTCACATACTGGCCAATTGAGAGGTGCAATTAAAGATGATTTGGAGCTCTCTTGGCAACAACACTGCTTCCCCAAAAGGCTGGTCATTTTGCAGTAAGGGCGTGGTGGGGAAGTGTGGGATGAAACTTGCTTGATCTAATCTCCCCGCAAATCGTGATGACTGCACAATAAACAGGTCATCTGGAAAGGGACCTTGGAGTCATAGTTGTGGTCTGCTGTGTGAAGTGAGTATTGCAAGTTGTGGCATTCCATGAGCATAACAACTTCATTGCACTGGATCTTGCACTGAAGATATAGGGTGGTTTTGTTCTGCGTCAGCTGCAGCATACTTAGATATGCCTTCAAGAGCATCATTCAAAGACCATACTGCTGTACTAAACTTCTTAACATTGCTAAACATCATGACATTGCTGGATCTGAAGGCCTTGTCATGGAACAGTCATGATTAAATGCATTCAACCACTGTCACAAACCTGGAGTTTCCACACCCTGAAACCATTTATCGACTAGTGCTGGGACATTGCAATCCAGGCCTTGGACATGTAAACACACATAACTTGGGAATAAGTTCTGTTGAGATCAGTGGGGCTTTCATTCAAGTCAGTGTGCTTAGGATGATTATGATGATGATTCATTTTGTATACCGCCCTTCACCACAAGGTCACAGGGCGGTTCACAACATAAAAATACACAATTGTGTTGGAGGTGACAAGAATTAGCCAGATGCTGTTCCTCACGGGGTCAACTATGAATAGTAGAGCCTTAAAAACAATCGGCTGTCTCTGTTTACTTTCTTCACGGGGTTGCTATGAGGATAAAATTAGATAGCTCCATAATAAGCATCCCTGGGCTCCTTGGTGGAAGAAAAGTAGCTGATACTGGTTTGATTCCAGGACTCAACACAGCTAAAACAAGCTGGCTGGGAATGAGGGCTAGACGGGGAATGTCAGTGCAAAGAGGAAATGAGGATCTTTGCCGGATCATGCCAAAGGTCCAACTAACCCAGACTTCTGCTCCCCAATAACCAAAGAGAAGCCTCTGGAGAAGGGCATGAGCAGGGCTTGTAGGACAGTAGAATAGGAGGCATGTGGTCGATTAGTAGAGCCTCCTTCTGGTTCACCAAGAAGAGGTGAAGTTCGCAGGTTGAACCTCTAACATCTCCAGGCCCCCTGCTGAAATCCTGGAGAAATGCTACTTACTAAGCTCGATGGAGATCACCGAAGAATTGATGCTTTTGAATTATGGTGCTGGAAGAGACTTTTGAGAGTACCATGGACTGCTAGAAGATCAAACCTTTCCATTCTTAAGGAAATCAGCCCTGAGTGCTCACTGGAAGGACAGATCCTGAAGCTGAGGCTCCAATACTTTGGCCACCTCATGAGAAGAGAAGACTCCCTGGAAAAGACCCTGATGTTGGGAAAGATGGAGGGCACAAGGAGAAGGGGACGACAGAGGATGAGATGGTTGGACAGTGTTCTCGAAGCTACCAGCATGAGTTTGACCAAACTGTGGGAGGCAGTGGAAGACAGGAGTGCCTGGCGTGCTCTGGTCCATGAGGTCACAAAGAGTTGGACACGACTAAACAACTAAACAACAAAAGCTCCATGGATGGTTGTCAGACTCAGTAGAAGCCAGCTTCCTGTATTCCCGTGAACAGGTCCTGAGGGTGCTCTAGAGACCCAAGAGTCATAGCTGAGGCCTTAACTCCTTTGCTGTCATAGCTATGTGGGAGTAGGCAAGGAGACAGGTTTGAAAAGGAATGGGAACTGAAAAATATGGGTCAAAACATCACTCCACACAATGGTGGGTAGCCACAATAGCTGTGTTGTACCTCCACCGTTGGAATACCAGCATTTGGGAACTGCAAGTGAAGAGAGTGTTATTGTGCTCAGGAACTGCTTGTGGGCTTCCCACTGTAAGGGTTTGGGTAGCTATTGTGCGGGATGCAGGTGGCGTTGTGGGTTAAACCACAGAGTCTAGGACTTGCCGATCAGAAGGTCGGCGGTTCAAATCCCCGTGACGGTGTGAGCTCCTGTTGCTCGGTCCCTGCTCCTGCCAACCTAGCAGTTTGAAAGCACGTCAAAGTGCAAGTAGATAAGTACCGCTCTGGCGGGAAGGTATACGGCGTTTCCGTGCGCTGCTCTGGTTCGCCAGAAGCGGCTTAGTCATGCTGGCCACATGACCCAGAAGCTGTACGCCGGCTCCCTCGGCCAATAAAGTGAGATGAGCACCGCAACCCCAGAGTCGGCCACGACTGAACCTAATGGTCAGGGGTCCCTTTACCTTTAGCTATTGTGCAGTGTTCAAAATTTGCCAAGCACATTTTCCACCTGGCTTTTGACCGCTTGTGAAGATGCCTGGGTACCAGCATGGCGCCTGACATCTCCACCATCTGGGGATCATTGGATCTGGACCGTTTTCACACACTAATACCCCATCCTGTAGAATTCTATCAGTTCTATTTTATCTGCACAATCGGAATGAATTTCTGAATCCAAAATGCTTTTTCTGTGCAGCCTGAGCAGGAGCAGTCACCATTAAGAAAAAGAGGTCAGAACAGGCCAATATATATATGTAGACTGTCCCTGGATCAAGTGGCTTTTCTTCTTTTAAGTTCTCAAAGCTCTTAACCTAGCTCAAGGTTGTCATCTGAACTAGCCTAGCCAGATGTTTAACTGATAATCACAGCCAGTCAATCATTAGAAAAATAAGAATTTAGAGCCGTCTTGCCCCAAAATGGAACATGAGTTTTAGTTGAGTTGTTGAAACCTATTTGATTGAAACTGGTTTGCGCCATCTGTTCCTGTGTACTCTGTGGGGGTTAAGTTATTATAGTTATTAGGTGTTACCTTGTTGATGTAGTCTGTTGTTTGAAAACCAGTAAGATTACACATTACTGCTACACCTTAAAACCAGTAATTATATTATACAGTTAACAGGGATGAGGATCACATGTTACAATCTGCATGCAGGTTTCAGATTAATTTCTGCTGAGAAATGCAATCAAAAGATGCCCAGATATTTGCTTTAAAAACTGCCAGCGAGGAAGGAGATTCCAAGCAGAAGTGTTGGTTTCTCAAGAACATCTTTCTCCCGCCTGCTCTACTTCTTCCTCTCCCCAAAACATGAACATATGGGAGTTGTTGGCGTGTCTTTCAATTTTTCATATCATTGTTGACATACATGAACGGGAGAACCCTTGAGTAGGTGCTGCTGGCTGTTTTTCAAGCTCTTTCCTCAAATCCATTTATAGATCCATCTTCAGACCATTTATCTTGGACTGGTAGCTCAGCCCTCATACCCGGATTGCAACCAGCCGTGTTGCAACGCCCTGTCCCCATAGGTGATGGGAGCAAATACTGTTTAGTCCAGAGGGGCAGGTTCACATTTATGAGAAAGAGGATGGAGACGAAACATTGGGAAGAACTGTTTGACAGTGGAAGAGACGGCTCTTCATTAGAAGGCTTGAAGTTGAGGCTAGATGACTACCTTTTGAAGATACAGTAGAAATTCCTGGACCAACAGGAGGTTGTTGCTAGCTGCCACAACTTTGATTGGTTGTGTGGTGCTGTCACAGGCGTGTGATCCAACCGATCTATGTGGGAAGCAGATTTCTGGTGGCTACGATGCTCTACTTGCAGAAGTTTCTTTTGAGTTGGGCTGTGGTGACAAGCCTATAGATAGAAAAAGGCAGTGAGCATGAGCTGGGGCTGAAAGAATTGTTTCCTATGAACCTGGCTTGGCATATCTAACTGGGGTGGGGTGCGGGGGTGGGGAATGGCTGTTAATATCAGAAGAATGCTGCCAGTTCAGGGCAAATGCCCATCTAGTCCAGCACTTTGTTCTTACAGTGGCCAAGAAGATGTCCATGGAAAGCCGGCAAAGAGAACAAAAAACTTAAAAGCCACCCTTGACTTCTCTCCAATTCTTTAATTCTGTGGCACAGTAGCAGTTAGAATATGATTGGAGGTGTGGTGCTGGTTTTTGTTTCTATGGTATAGAAAACTTGAGAATGGGGAACTGAATGCTCAAGTAGCTATTAGCTATTAGTGCATTACCAATACAGTATTAATTCAAATAAGTATATCCCTTGTTTTCATCTCTTAATGCAACTCTTGAATGGGTAATAGTCACCATAAAAACACACATACAGTAATACCTCGGGTTAAAGTAGCTTCAGGTTGAGCGTTTTCAGGTTGCGTTCTGCGGCGACCTGGAAGTAACGGAACGGGTTACTTCCGGGTTTTGCTGCTCGCGCATCAAAATGATGTCACTTGCATGCGCAGAAGCGGCGAATCCAGACGCGCAGACGCGGGTTGCGTTCTGCTCAGGATGCGAAAGGGGCTCCGGAACGGATCCTGTTCTCATCCAGAGGTACCACTGTACCAATAAGATGTTAGAAATGATAAAAGGATATCTTGCGAGCATCTCTTGCAACAACAATATTTAGATCAGGAAGATGAACTAAATCTGAATTAATACTGCACATATGCCTTATCTGTCCCTTTTCTTCTTTACAAAACAGTGGGCCACGCTGCGTATTGAGAAACAGAGAGAGGCACAGAGGCTTCCTTCTTCAAATGGTAAGGGTTTTCTTAAGAATTAGAACTGTTGCACCATTATAACAAGAATGGCTGTTTGGAAGGGGTGTGTGTATGGCGGAAATGGTCCTGAAATCTGATGTAAAAATCTTACAATACTTGGCTATCATCTAATGGTGGAGATACTCATGTGGGTCCATCGAGGCTGTTAAACCAAGTCCTCTGTATGGCGGTCTTGATGTGATAGTCCTGGAACCCTGATTGCATGCCTGACCCACAATTGCCTGTGTTACTCATTTGGGACGCATAAGTGTGGCTTTTAAGTAAAACAACTTTTGCAATGTCTTCCTTCCTGGACGCTTAGAGGAGGTTCCTTCTTGCCCCAGGTAGCTGTTTACAACCTTGTGCAGATCCATTTGGTTCACGTTGCCCAAAGACAGTGGAAATATTGTTCATGAGTTGCCTTTCCTTTTTATAATTTTGGAAAGTGATGCTGGATTGCAAGCTGAGCCCATGCCCCCTTTAGTGAATAAGACCTCTATGTCAGGTTTGCGAAACTACAGCTCACTTCATCCCTGATCATTTGGCATGCTGGCTGGGGCTCATGGGAGTTTGGAGTCCATCAACATTTGGAAGGCTCACAGCTTAGCCACCTCTGATGCAGATGCACCCACTGGGTTCCAGGTAGCTTTAATTAGGAGATTAATCAATCAAACAAACATTTTGTTGATTAATTGGTGTGGTAGGTGTTAAGGTTGGGCTCAAGCAAACATAATACAAAATTATGGTTTCAGCACTACATAGACTAGCCTTGGGGGACGCGGGTGGCTCTGTGGGTTAAACCACAGAGCCTAGGACTTGCTGATCAGAAGGTCGGCGGTTCAAATCTCCGCAACAGGGTGAACTCCTGTCGCTTCGTCCCAGCTCCTGCCAACCAAGCAGTTTGAAAGCACATCTAAGTGCAAGTAGATAAATAGGTACCGCTCTGGCGGGAAGGTAAACGGCGTTTCCATGCGCTGCTCTGGTTCACCAGAAGTGGCTTAGTCATGCTGGCCACATGACCCAGAAGCTGAACGCTGGCTCCCTCGGCCAATAAAGCAAGATGAGCACCGCAACCCCAGAGTCGGCCACGACTGGACCTTATGGTCAGGGGTCCCTTTACCTTTTTAGACTAGCCTTGAAGAATTTGTGTGCTTCTTGCACAAAGCTATTCCCAGTCTTGGTCTGAGGCAAACCATAGTTTATTTTTTCCAAATGACCCAACTATCGTTTGTGCTTGCCTGCAAACCAAGACCACAGGTTTGTCAGTTTGGTACAGAACACAGTTTTGCACTAGGAGATGTGGATTCGAATCCCCGCTTGGCTGTGAAGCTTGTGTAGCTTTGCACCAGGCCTATCCTGCCTCACAGGGCTGTTGTGAGAATGAGAATTGGTGTGGCAGAGAAGAGCCATAGATATTCCCTAAGCTCCTTTGGCGGGAGGGTGGCATTTTTAAAAACAACAACATAATAAGTTGGTTAAATCTGTCCTTTATCCGATTTATTTTAATTGCTCTTAGTTGCAACACATATTTTCCCCTCTTGATTCCTTTGCACTTAAGGTGGTTGCTTAATACAACTTCCATTTAACCAAGATTTTGAAATTGTGGTTTCACTGCACTGCGGTTGTCAATAGGCCACGGCTGACTGGGAGGAAAAGAATTACGCTGCTTCTACTTTTGTCGTCACTACCTTGAGGTTTTGAAGACTTCTGTTGTAACTGCTTGATATCCCTACCCCACCCAGAAGAGGGTAAAAGGAGGGTGGATTCTCTTCTCTGAATGTTTCTTTTACCCCTGTGCTGTCTCAGCATCCTGCTTCCCTGGCATCCCTCTGAGGCTTGCTCCAGTTCCCTCTGCGAACGTGACCCCTGCTTTACTCAGTGTTGCACCTCCTCCTTCTATAGCACATTGTTAGCTAAAACACCATCCCGGGCTTGCATAATTCATCACTGTCAGGCCGGTCCCGAGGAACAAGATCTGTGGGGAGTCTCTTCCCTTCACCAGCTGTTGACTTGAAGGATTGTATTATTCTCTCGAGACCAAAGAAACAACTCTTTCATTTCCTCCACCGTGCATTGCATTGGGGACCTCGGGTCGTTCCAGAGTTGCTGTTTCATCTCTCCTCCGCTTTGGGTTCCAGCGCATTGGGCAACAGTGCGGCAGCCAGAAATCCAGCCTTTCGTCCTGGCTCAGGAAAGATAGTAAATATGTACCGTATTTTTTGCTCTATAGGGCGCACCGGCCCATAGGGCGCACCTAGTTTTTTTGGGGGAAATAAAAAAAAGGCTTGCGGATAGCTTCCTGAAGCCTGGAAAGCGAGAGGGGTCAGTGCGCACCGACCCCTCTCGCTCTCCAGGCTTCAGCGAAAGCCTGCATTCGCCCCATAGGACACACACACATTTCCCCTTCATTTTTGGAGGGGGAAAAGTGCGTCCTATAGAGCGAAAAATACGGTAGTTATCAGGAAAACAAAAGCTTCCCTGGCTGAACTGAATTTTCCCATTGCCTCAGGTGGAAGAACAGATGGGGAAGTGGGTGGGTTCTGCTTGAAGCAGCCATGGTTTTGCCCCTGGGGGAAAGCAGCTGACAGGTAATTGAGGGCAACACCGACACCATATGTTTAAAGCACTCTTACACTGCTTTTGCAATCATGGCTTCTCCCCCCAAAAATTCTGGAACTCTAGTTCATTAAGGCTGATAAGTTGTTAGGAGATTCCTGTTCCCCTCACAGGACTACAGTGGTTTAATGCTCAGTTGCTATTCCCAGGGAATTCTGGGAATTGTAGCTGTGTTAGGGGACTAGGCGGTGGTCTCCTAACAACTCTCAGCACCCTTAGCAAGCTACAGTTCTGAGGATTTTTTGGAGTGGAAGCCATGACTGTTTAAAGTGGTATGATACTGCTTAAAATAGACAGTGCGGATGGTGCCTAAGAAGTTCTATCTTGGCTCATGGTTGTTGTTGTTTAGTCGTGTCCGGCTCTTCATGACCCCCTGGACCAGAGCATGCCAGGCACTCCTGTCTTCCACTGCCTCCCGCAGTTTGGTCAAACTCATGCTGGTAGCTTCGAGAACACTGTCCAACCATCTCGTCCTCTGTCGTCCCCTTCTCCTTCTGCCCTCCATCTTTCCCAACATCAGGGTCTTTTCCAGGGAGTCTTCTCTTCTCATGAGGTGGCCAAAGTGTTGGAGCCTCAGCTTCATGATCTGTCCTTCCAGTGAGCACTTAGGGCTGATTTCCTTAAGAATGGAGAGGTTTGATCTTCTTGCAGTCCATGGGACTCTCCAGAGTCTCCTCCAGCACCAGAATTCAAAAGCATCAATTCTTTGGCGATCAGCCTTCTTTATGGTCCAGCTCTCACTTCCATACATCACTACTGGGAAAACCATAGCTTTAACTATATGGACCTTTGTTGGCAAGGTATAATAATAATAATAATAATAATAATAATAATAATAATAATAATAATAAAATAATTTATTTATTAGGGCCACAGCAGAATATGCCCATTTTCAGGTTCACTGCCTCTGATATTCTGTAGGGTGTGGTGTCATGAGTAGAATTTTCCCAGGTTGTCTAAGTAATCTTACAAGTCTACACAGGGGCAGGTGGTCTTTTAGGTAGCCAAGCACACTGGAAGTGCGATCCCCACTCAACGGAGCAAGCCATTAATGTCAGATCAAAGCATCAGCTCCACCTCCACACTCCCAATCAATTTATGCAATCAGTTATTTGAAAGCTGGTACAGCAGATGTGTTGCGGAAAGCTGATTATGGATGATGGTTGTTGTTGTTTAGTCGTGTCCGACTCTTCATGGATGAAGTAATTCCAAATGGTTTCAGCCAAACCACATGTGGAGGAGCAAGGCTTTCCCGCCCAGGGAGTCACCGGGCTAATGGGACTTTGGCAAAATTATTTCCTGCTTATCTCCTAGATGAAATGTTGCCGCCCGATCCCTTTAATGGCAGGTATAAACTGACCTTGTGGAAATGGTACCAGGTGTTGCCTGGAACTTGTGTTGCAGATACCATATTTTTCGCTCTATTGGACACACTCCCCCCCCCCAAATGAAGGGGAAATGTGTGTGCGTCCTATGGAGCGAATGCAGGCTTTTGCTGAAGCCTGGAGAGCGAGAGGGGTCGGTGTGCACCGACCCCTCTCGCTCTCCAGGCTTCGGGCAGCTATCCACAAGCCTTCTGAGCGCGGTGGGAGTTTTTTTCCTTTATTCCCCCCCAAAAAACTAGGTGCGCCCTATGGGCCGGTGTGCCCTATAGAGCGAAAAATATGGTAATTGACCTGCCTACTGCCTGCCTTCATTTTCTCCTTGAGCTATAATGTGCTTTTTATTTGTTTATTCCCCACCTGAAGTTATCATACAGAGGGACCAGACCACCATGGAGAAAGCCATTGCTGGCCTGCGCCATGGGGACTTTGAGCTCTCCGATGTGTTTTACTTCTGCAAAAAGGGGTATGAAGCGATTGTGGAAGACGAAGTCACCCAGAGGTTCACCTCGGAGGAGCTGGTCTCCTGGAACCTCCTCACCAGGACCAACGTCAACTTTCACTACATCAGTTTACGGCTGACCATCGTGTGGGTCATTGGCGTCTTCGTTCGCTACTGTCTCCTGCTGCCTCTTCGGTGAGCCTGTCTCTGTGTGTGGACGTAGATAGCTGCCTTTATACAGAGTCAGGGCGTGGGGCCATCATGTTCACCATTGTCCACACCTTGAGTAGTCAGTGGGCAACCTCTCCAGACTATCTATCTATCTATCTATCTATCTATCTATCATCTATCTATCTAAAATTTTAAAAAATCAGTGAAAAAATAATGTGAAAGTAAAGAAAGATGAATAATGTGAAAGCAGGGTGGATTTGATTTAAATCAAATCAATTTACAGTGGTACCTCTGGATGCGAATGGGATCCATTCCGGAGCACCGTTCACAACCCGCAGCGGCGCGTCTGCGCACGCGCGGGTCGTGAATCGCCGCTTCTGCGCATGCGCATGATGTCCTTTTGAGCATCTGCGCATGCGCGAGCGGCAAAACCCGGAAGTAACGCATTCCGTTACTTCCGGGTCGCCACAGAGCGCAACCTGAAAACGCTCAACCCGAAGCTACTTCAACCTGAGGTATGACTGTAAATCATGATTTAAATCATGGTTTAAATCACTAGTCAGTAGGAGAAGCCAAGTTGAATGAATGAATGAATAAATTTATTACGGTCATAGACCAGAAAGAAGCCAAGTTACAGGGACCCAGGCAGAGGGCCTTCTCGGTAGTGGCACCCACCCTGTGGAACGCCCTCTCACCAGATGTCAAAGAGAAAAACAACTATCTTAGTTTTAAAAGACATCTGAAGGCAGTCCTGTTTAGGGAAGTTTTTAATGAATCTGGAAGAGCATGACATTGTGAATGGATTAATGGAATTCATTTACCAAAATAAATTAAACATTGCATATAAAGACTCATGCTACATAATTAAAAACAAACCCTTATTTCCTGATGAATAGCCTTTGGACTATAATGTAAATTAAATAGAAAACTGTCTTTAGAAAGATTTTTCCTCCAAAAGCATTTTATTTTTAAAAAATGCAATTTAAATTAAAGACACACACACACACATATATATCCCCACCCTGTGTGATATTTATCCACCCTGTGTGAAAGGAAAGAAAGAGAAATAACCTCCCATTTATTCAGAAGGAACCAGTTGAGCTTTAGCAGTTTTAAATGAGCAAGGACCTGGTGCACAAACACTGTTCTCTGCTCAACTAGCCCCTGAGAAGAAGCCGAAACTGCATGCCAGGCTGAAGGTTATGCACAAGCCAGCACTGGTTTCTTTTTTAATAGAGTGGATTAACAAGCCTAGCTGCCACTTAAGGACGTGGCACGTCTATTTGGCAAAGGGCGGTAGCTCAGTGGCAGTGCACCTGTTTTCCACGCAGGCGGTTTCAGGTTAAACGCCTGGGCTGGAACCATGGAGAGCAGTGGCCAGTCAGTGTACCAATGGCCCAATGTGGTATAAGGCTATGTTGTCCCTTGGTTTTCTGGATGATTCCTCCTGCTGGCCTCTGAAACCTGGCAAATGCTCTACTTTGCTATTCTCTGTCACTGGAGTTGAGCTGAGCTGGACCCTTGGACTTTGCAGGAATGCTGCAAATAACATACAAGCTTGAGTTAAGTATTATTATTAATTACACTAGTGGCCAAAATTGTGGAAACCTTTTGGAAAAAGTGTATTTCTGAGATTTGATGGCTCACAACACCACTTTTTTTTTTAGAGTAACACCATAAAATTATATATCAACAGAAAGATAATTTAATGAAGAATGTAATGCAACAAAGTTTGTTCAGTTATCTGTATTCTATCAAAAGTTATAGCCAAATAACCAGAAAAAGGAAGCACAACTTGCTTAGGTTGGTATGCAGTAGATTTCCTTCATTTGAATGTAACCGGTGAGCATGAGTGTGTAGAGAGCCAATCGGGTGTTGTGAGGCATCAAACCTCGGAAATACACTCTTCCCACAATTTTGGCCACTAGTGCGTGTCCTGGCTTGCCTCCAAGAAGCTCCAAGTGACAACATCGTCCTTTCCCTCCTCATTTAATCCTCACAACAACCCTGTGAGGTAGGTAAGGCTAAGACACAGTGAATGGCCCAAGGTCACCCAGCGAGCTTCATGGCTGAGTGGCAATTTGAACCCTGGTTGCCCAAGCCCTAGTCGGGCGCTCGGTGTTTCCCAAACTTGGGCCTTCAGCTTTTTTTTTTTTGGACTACAGGTTTCACCATCCCTGACCACTGGTCCTGCTAGCTAGGGATCATGGGAGTTGTAGTCCAACAACAGCTAGAGACCCAAGTTTGGGAAATAGTGCTCTAAGCACTAATCCACACCACAAGACATGACCCAAGCCCTCGGCTGAAGGCACACGATGTAGTCCTTTGCTCCAGCCCAGGTGGTCAGTGCCTGGATGGGGGAAGGATGATGATGATGATGATGATAATAATAATAATAATAATAATAATAATAATAATAATAATACTACTACAGTGGTATCTCGGGTTAAGTACTTGATTCATTCTGGAGGTCCGTTCTTAACCTGAAACTGTTCTTAACCTGAAGCACCACTTTAGCTAATGGGGCCTCCTGCTGCTGCCGTGCCTCCGGAGCCCGATTTCTGTTCTCATCCTGAAGCAAAGTTCTTAACCTGAAGCACTATTTCTGGGTTAGCAGAGTCTGTAACCTGAAGCGTATGTAACCTGAAGCGTATGTAACCTGAAGCATATGTAACCCGAGGTACCACTGTAATAATAATAATAATAATAATAATGAATTTATTATTTATACCTCACCCATCTGGCTGGGTTTCCCTGTGAACCCAAGTATGCTACATGGTTATGGATATACAGTGGTACCTCGCAAGACGAATGCCTCGCAAGACAAAAAACTCGCTAGACGAAAGGGTTTTTTGTTTTTTGAGCTGCTTCGCAAGACGATTTTCCCTATGGGCTTGCTTCGCAAGACGGAAACGTCTTGCAAGTTTGTTTCCTTTTTCTTAACACCGTTAATACAGTTGCGACTTGACTTCGAGGAGCAACTCATAGAACGGGTGTGGTAGCCTTTTTTGAGGTTTTTAAAGACTTTGGTGATTTTTGAAGCTTTTCCAAAACTTTCCCGACACTGTGCTTCGCAAGACGAAAAAAATCGCAAGACGACAAAACTCGCGGAATGAATTAATTTCGTCTTGCGAGGCACCACTGTAGTTACATTTTAAAAACTCACCAGGAGACCAAAAGTATGCACTTTAAGGAAACCTTTCTCTTCCGATCAAACTCGCTTGTCAGGATTTCCAATTGCAAATTATCTGAAGATGCTCTAAGTAGGATCTAATGGTCTCTAATGGATAATGCATTTTGGATTTTCCCTTCTGTTTCCCCCCCAGGGTTACCTTGGCACACATTGGGATCCTTTCCATGATTTGCGGCAGCACGCTGGTAGGCCAGCTTCCAAACGGGGAGTAAGTGGATCTCCTTTGCATCAGTAGCTTTGGGAAAAGAAGAGGTTACGAAACAGAAAACAAAACTCTACCTCCGCCTTGGGCCAACCTCTTGCGTCAACGCAAGTTGTTTATTAGAATTGTTGGAATGCCGATTGACAGCTGGGATTCACCTGCCAAAGCATAACGTTATATCGTGCGAAGCTTTATAATCTTGCAGGAGCAAGTTTCATTATTCGCTGTGTAAAACTAATGGCCCATCAGTTTTGCCAAAACAGTTCTTATAAACATACGTGACTGTGTTTATAAGAGGGAAAGCAAAGGGGGAATCTCCATTTATGGAGACATTGAAATAACAAGCAGAGAGATGGGAACCAGCTGGCGACAGAATCTTAGAGACTTGGGGTGTAAAAGTAATTGATAAGGGGAGGGCATGATCAAAAGCAGCTGAAAGGACAAGAAGAGTTGAGAATTAAGTGAGGGGCTGCTGGATTTTGTAGAGAAGAGGGTATCCATTATTTTTGTGAGACCACTTTCCCAAAGCATCCATTTTCTGAATATGTATCTTTATAGACAGAGCTACTGAACTGTTTGTTCTTCAGCTTGTTTAGAATGCTGACTCCTCTTTTGCTACCAAGAAGTTGAAATTAGGTTGTGATGTGTAAATAACCAGTGCTGCAACTCTTAGATCCTTTGGAAGTGTGGACCTAACTTAGATTTCTATGGCTGCTATTTCACTCAGTTTTTCCTGTTTTGCAGAACCAAAGACTGGCTGAGTGACCTTGTCCACCTCACCTGTTCCCGGATCCTTGTCAGAGCGCTTTCTGGCAACATTTATTACCACAACAAGTGAGTGAAAGAAAACACGACCCCTTCTCAGGACAGAAGTTAGATAAGTTCTTTCCTGATGGTGCCGGGTAGATCACAGTGGATTTTGTTGCTGCTGCTGATGTGCACAGAACCAAGTGGTAGAATGAATTGTACCACCAGAGTTTACCAGTCTGGGATCACATCTTTTTAACATTCTGTTGCGTAAAAAAACAAAACACCCCTGCAAGTAAACTGGTAGCACAGCAAGGAGTGGATGGCACTTCAACTCTTTTAAACTGAAGTGCTGTTTGTTTAACTTAAAGCAAGTTTTTTGTGTGTGTGTGTTTGGGCGCCTCCAGACAGGTGTGTTGTTTTTGCAGGTACCGTATTTTTCGCCCTATAGAACGCACTTTCCCCCCTCCAAAAATGAAGGGGAAATGTGTGTGCGTCCTATGGGGCGAATGCAGGCTTCAGGAAGCTATCCGCGAGCCTGGGAGAGCTGCGCGACTTCGCACAGCTCTCCCACGGCTAGCGGAGAGCTTGCCTGCACCCAGAAGCTTGGGGCGCGCTGAGCTCAGCACGCCCCAGGCTTCGGGCTTCGCGCAGCTCTCCCACGGCTTGCGGATAGCAGCCTGTTCTGGGGGCTGGGGTCGGGGGAAGCTCGGGCTTCCCCCGCCCCAGCCCCGCACCTGAGGGGGATTTTTTTTTCTTCTTCTTTATTTCCCCCCCAAAAAACTAGGTGCATCCTATGGGCCGGTGCGTCCTATGGGGCGAAAAATACAGTACATTCTGCACTACGTCTATGGTACATCAGTAGTTCCCTAGTTAGTGGTGGATTAATACTGGGCTGTCCACACATTCCTTCCACTTCTGCAATGCTTCTCCAACGTTACTGCATTATTGTACTTTTGCGCTGGAGCACAACAAATTTGGCAAAACCTTCCCCCCCCCATACATTTGCGGTCTAAACAGTTACAGAATTTTGGTGGGAAGCAAAAGGGCAGCCACTGATTGGAAACAAAGAAATTATGTCCATCCTAAAATCTTTGCAGGCTCAAACGGTATGCAAAGTGGGATTGCACATAACTGCTCCCAAAAGCATCATGAATACACAGTGAAAAGGATGCTTGGAAGGGCCTGTTGTGTTTTGTTGTGAGATGGATTCAGAAACTTCATCTTCCCCCAGCTGTCTCAAGTGGTACAGTCCACTCTGTCATCTCTGAGCTCTGCATGATGAAGAACAGGGCTTATCTGGGCTTAACTTTCCCTGCTTGGATGTCAACATCCTCTTCCGAGTATAGTCTGTGAGCCTTTGGAAGGGGCAGTGGGTAGTGACATGAAGCAGGGCCTTTTTGGTGGTGGTGCCTTGACTTTGGAATGCTCCCAAGGGGGGAGACTTACCCAGTAGCTATTAATAACTTTATTCTCCACAAAGTTGTCTAAACCTCTTTAAAAGCCATCCAACTTGGTGGCCGTAGCTGCTTCCTGTAGGAGTGAGTCCTATAGTTGTAACTATGTACTGTGTGAAAAAGTGCTTTCTTCTGTCTGTCCTGAATATTCAGCTTACTGGATGCCTGAGTATTATGAGAGAGGGACAAAAACCTTTCTCTATCCACTTCCTCCACAGCATACTTAATTTTATACAAGTCTTATCATGCCCCCTATTAGTTGACTTTTCCTTGAGCTGAAAGGTCCCACAAGTTGTCTGTGTAGTGCCTGTGTGTCGGTCTTCTGGGGGTTAAACACCATTAAAAAAATGCCAAGTCCAATTACTTTCAGAATACCTCAGGTTAAGTACTTAATTCGTTCCGGAGGTCTGTACTTAACCTGAAACTGTTCTTAACCTGAAGCACCACTTTAGCTAATAGGGCCTCCTGCTGTTGCCGCACCGCCAGAGCACTATTTCTGGGTTAGCGGAATCTGTAACCTGAAGCATATGTAACCTGAAGCGTATGTAACCCGAGGTACCACTGTATGCTTTTTAAAGTCTGTGCACTGCTTTAAATGCCTTGCTTGTGGCTGAGAATTGCAGCTTAGAAATGTTAAATGTTGACAAAGAATGCATTTTCTTTTGACTTTTAAATGGCAACCCTGCTCATTAAGCCTTTACAGCGAAGAATACTCACGTGTAACGTGCTGCAGGTTTGTGGGCATCTCGCAGCCGCTCGTCCCCTACTGCAAAGTTGTGAAAAACTTGTGATGTCCTCCTGTCATTTTGCAGGGAGAACAAGCCTAAGAAAGGAGGGATTTGTGTTGCCAACCACACATCCCCAATAGACGTCATAATCTTGACCAATGATGGCTGTTACGCAATGGTACGTCTTAAGTCTCATGAATTTTGCAATTGCAAGGACCGAGGGTTGCAAAGACCTCTGTACACGAAGCCAGCGTTGAACTGTACCTACTTCCTAGTTGCTAATAATTGAAGTCATTGCTTCGTGTTGAGTTGAGAAAACTCTTGATGCAAAAAAGGAAGAGGAACTGGTGCAACTGATTTAGCTATGCAGCTGCACAGAAGCACTTTTAATAGTTTTCACCTGTCAATGCTATCAGTGTGGATAACACTTGACATTGCTTAAGAAAGCAGGTCTCTGTCCTGAGGAGCTTACAGTTGACACTGAGAAACGGAGAAAGAAGAGGCAAGGCTAAATAGGGAAAGAAAATGAGGAAGGTTTACTGCCATATCGAGGCAGAGATCCAAAGGCTGTGTCTTACCTGTGTGTAGGGTTGCCATAAAAACAGCTCCCCATGCAAAACAAACAAATATTGTTGACGTGCCTGTCCAATTCACTGCCACGAAGGCTTTGTTCAGTGGTGTCCAAAATTTTACAGAGAGGGCCAGATTTGACGAAGTAAAGGGCCATGAGGGCTGACCAAACAAAGTTGTTAACCTTTTTTTTAGGATTGAAGTTGTTGAACTTTTTAAAGGGTTTTACCCCAGGAAATAAACTGCCACAGGGGCCAGATTAAACCGACCAGCGGGCTGGATTGGGTCTTTGGACATTCCTGGGTTTGTTAATCAAATAAGTGGCAAAGCCCCCATCTGCACCCTGCCATTAAAGCAATGTTCCATCACTTGGAAGATGGAGTGAGCTTGTTTTCTCCTACTCCGGAGAGCAGGACCCAAACCAATGGATTCAAGTTAAAAGAAAGTAGATCCCGACTAAACATCAGGAAGGGCTTTCGGACAGTAAGAGCTGTTTGATAGTGAAATGGTCTCCCTCAGGAGGTTGTAGAATCTCCTTCCTTGGAGGTTTTCAAGCAGAGGTTGAAAACCTCTGTCATGGATGCTTTAGCTGAGATCCCTGCGTTGCAGGGGCTTGGACTAGATGACTCAAGGGGTCCCTTCAAACTCTACAATTCTATGATTCTATGAATAAGCGAAGTGACAGTAACGTGCAGTAGGAAGTGTGAGATAACCACCTCCCTGACACAACGTTGTTAACCTCCCAGCAAACAGAACAGAATGGAAGCTCCAAAAACAGATTGTGGGCACTTAAAGATGACATAATCATGTCCTTCAAGAATGACATCACTTTCAATGCATTGCGGAGGGGATCAACTCCACTCACAAGGCTCCTTTACAGTTTTGAAAGGGAACTATTTTGAAGGAACTCCCTGTTGATTTAATTTTGTCTTTTTTTTGGTGGGGGGACCTTACAGGTGGGCCAAGCTCACGGGGGCCTAATGGGCGTTATTCAGAGGGCCACTGTCAAAGCCTGCCCACATGTTTGGTTTGAACGCTCCGAAATGAAAGATCGCCACCTGGTGACGAAAAGGTATGGGCTTTGTTGTTGTTTTTTTACCTGAACACCAAGAGACAAATGGCTGTGGGTTGCTCTAAAGCAGGGGTCAGCAAACTTTTTCAGCAAGGGGGCCAGTCCACTGTCCCTCAGACTTTGGGGGGCGGATTATATTTTTTGGGGGGGAAATGAATGAATTCCTATGCCCCACAAATAACCCAGAGATGCATTTGCATTTGCATTTAATTTGATTTGATTTAAACTGTTTTTACAATGAATTGATTTTAGAATGCTGTATTATTTTATTGTTGTTAGCAGCTCTGAGCCCGGCTTCGGCTGGGGAGGGTGGGATATAAATAAATTTTATTATTATTATTATTATTAAATAAAAGTGCTTTGCATACCCGCATTCAGCTCCTTGAATATCCTGGCTTACTAAACCAAACCCCTCAGGCAAGTCCAACAACCTTAATAATAATAATAATAATAATAATAATAATAATAATAATAATAATAAATTTATTTATACCCTGCCCTCCCCGGCCGGAGCCGGGTTCAGGGCAGCTAACACCAGTGAAATTACAGTAAAAACATAATAGGGAAAAAAACCCAATTTAAAATGCAGGTTAAAATGCAGGTTAAAACTTTGCCTTCCTTCTGTTGCTAAAATTTCTTCCCCACCCACACCAAACTGAAATGGTGCTTTGAAGAGGAGGACCTTGAAAGGTACCTCCCGATCTGAGAACCACTTAGCCCGCTTGACTCTTAAATATTTCACTGCACAGCACAGAGCTAAACTATACAATTCGCTCTCGCAAGGTGTTGCCAATGGCCGCCGGCTTGGATGGCTTTGAAAGAGGATGTTGCCATCAAAGGCTTGTGGGCTTCCCATGGTGGCATCTGGTTGGCCACTGTGAGAACAGGATGCTGGATTAGACCTTTGACCTGATCCAGCAACCCTCTACTTATGCCCTTGTTATTGGAAACAGATTAATTCCAAGAGACCCTCTTGAGTACTGAGGCAAAGACTGAAATATTTCTCCTTTTCTTTCAGGTTGAGGGAACACGTTGCGGATAAGGAGAAGCTGCCCATTTTAATTTTCCCAGAAGGTAAAACACACACTTCTCTTCCCTCATTTGTGGGTTAATAACAATTATGATACGATACGATAATCTTTATTGTCATTGTCCCATACAAAACAGCGAAATTGAAAAATCTACATCAGACATTCAAAAACCAACACGCCTGCTATCCCAGCCTAGTTAACCCCTAAAAACTCTGATACCATAATTAAATACAATATACCTCCATAGAGACACGTTACACGTGTTAAACAAAATCACATTTGCTAGAAACTGTTTCTCAGTGCGGCTACTCCTAGTCTTTATAAACCCTGAACCTTCTTCCAGAAGGCAGAAGCTGAAAGAGATCATTTCCGGGGTGCGCACTATCCTGCACTATCTCTGCAGCTTTCTTATGACACCTGGAAGCATATATTTGATCCAAAGTGGGAAGAGTGCACCCAATTATCCTCTCCGCAGTCTTTACAACCCTGGACAGCATTGTTTTCCCCCTGACTGTGCAGCTCCCAAACCACACACACAGACCATAAGTTAATACTGTCTAAGTCGCTCTTGGACTCTTCCCTTGCCGTGAGGCGTTCCCCTCAGGTTGGTTACATCAAATTCCTGCGAGAACCTCCTCTCTTGTGACAGTCTTATGGAGGAAAACAGCAGAATATGACCGTAAACAGTGAGATCATAATATGAGGCCCATCTTTGTGTGCCTCCTCCATGAGAGGTCCTCAGGGTGACAACACAAGAGCAGGCCTTATCTGTGGTGGCTCCCCGTTTGGGGCATTTCTCCCCAGAGAAGTGCAATTGGCGCCTTTCAAAAGCATTATAACCAGGCCTTTGGCCTAATTTAACTATCTGTGGCCACTTAGAAGCGGGCCACAGACATCCCATGCAGATACAAGAGAAATAAGTTAATTTCTTATTATCTCTTGGTTTTCACATGTCTGCATGGGGTGTTTTTGTCTGGGTGGTTGTATGTTGATTTAGGTTGCCCTGGGCAAGGTAATGCAACAAACAATTCAACAAATAATAATGATGAATGCATAAATAATAAAGGCGATGTGGCTGAGCTTCTCTCTGCCCTTGCCCCTGTCCTGCCCCCGATACGTGGCTTGACATCCAGCATATACCCCTTGTCAGGGGAGTCTTTAGTGTATGTGCCGCCGGGGTGCAAAAATCTTCCCAGCACCCCCAAATTTAGTTTAGCCCCCAAATTAACTTTTACGGTGGACGCTCGGGTTGTGAACGTGATCTGTGTGGGATGCACGTTCGCAACCAGCATCTGCGCATGCACGGGTTGCAATTTGGCACTTCTGCGCATGCACAAAGCGCAATTTAGTGCTTCTGTGCATGCGCGACCGCCGAAACCCGGAAGTAACCCGTTCGGGTACTTCCGGGTTTTGGCGATCCATAACCTGAAAAGACGCAACCTGAAACGGCTGTAATCCGAGGTATGACTATTGTGCTTTTGTCAGACACCATGCTTACGCCTTATCTCTTGTTCACGAAAGAAGGGAGGAAAAAGAAACAAACTTTATTTTTTAATTTATTTACTGACAAGCGCCACCGTGGTAAATGACAAGCACCGCCTCTGGCACGGCGCGTCTTTGGTAAATGAGCGCACAAAGTCGAAAGTCCTTTAGTGAAGCAGGTATACATTTCGGTAATACCTAGGTATATATGAATTTTGTTTTTCTAGCTCGATCAAAATTATTTATTATTTCATAACAGGTAGATAGTTAAGAGCTTAGGCGGCTTCAGCGGCGGGCGCATGGCTCTCCCCAGAATTTGGCGCCCAGGTGCCCCGCACCTGGCCCTGCCCCTTGTGTAGACGTTATTGAGCTGGGTGAACCCATGGCCTGGCTTTGCATAAGTCAGCTCCCTGTGTTCCTTTGTCATTCACGGAACGACTCCAGTTTGCACAATGGAACTTGCCCTCCCTCTTCTTCCCCAACTTCCCACCCCTAGCCCACAAAATAAAAACAAAAACGTGGTAGGGATGTAAAGAGAGAATAAAGATCCATTGAGCAATCAGAAGTCCTGGCATGATCGGGTCAACTTAGTTCAATACAGCCTTCTGCAACTCAGGACTTTAATGCCTAAGGCGAATAATGTTCCATCTGGATTTGTGTTTACTGATTGCTCTGTCTTTTATTTATTTTTTAAAAAAACCAGGCACTTGTATAAACAACACCTCGGTCATGATGTTTAAAAAGGGAAGCTTTGAAATCGGTGGCACAATCTACCCAGTTGCTATCAAGGTAAGAACACGCAAAAATATTCTAGGTTCTAGAAGGTTTTCTAGCCAATTCTAGCCAGTTCCTAGGACAGCTATTCCTAGTGCCCTCCGGATGTGTTGAACTCCATGTCCCATCATCCCTGATCACAGGCTACGTTGGCTGAGGCCACTGGGAGTTGGAGACCAGCAACATCTGGAGGGCAACAGCTTCCCCATGTTTTCCCAGCAAGGTGTGGCTGCTGCTGGATCTCATGGACTCCAGTGCAGGCTTGGAAGTCTGGAGATGCCTCCAGACAGGTTCAAGATATATTAAATTGGACGAAGATGCAAGTGAGAGCCAGCACCAGGAAACTCAGCTTCCTCCATCCCTGAGCATTGCTAAAGAAGGACTGGGCAGAGGAATGAATGAAGCGCAACCAGTCTTTTCCTGTTCTTATATCTGAAAGCAGATTTGTCTCTTTCCAGGGAGCAGTGTGCCATAAACCCATGGCACCAAGTCCAGTAGTTAGCTTCACAAATGTGGGAGCAGAAGACAGGTCCCTGGAACACTGCCTAGGACCAACATCTAAGACCACAAAGTTACTCTTTAGTGTGGAGACCAGTTGTCTGATCACAATGTTTCCTTTAAGGAAAACAAAAAGCTACTGGTGGGTTTGTTGTAAAAAAGCAGAAATACAGTGGTACCTTGGGTTAAGTACTTAATTCATTCTGGAGGTCTGTTCTTAACCTGAAACTGTTCTTAACCTGAAGCACCACTTTAGCTAATGGGGCCTCCTGCTGCCTCCACGCCACCGGAGCACGATTTCTGTTCTCATCCTGAAGCAAAGTTCTTAACCCAAGGTACTATTTCTGGGTTAGCGGAGTCTGTAACCTGAAGTGTATGTAACTTGAAGTGTCTGTAACCTGAGGTACCACTGTACTAACTAGCTACAGACTACAGTCAAACCTCGGTTGTCGAAAGTAATCCGTTCCGGAAGACCGTTTGACTTCTGAAACGTTTGAAGACCGAAAGCTGAAAGCGGAAGCCTCAATACAACCGGGAGGCTTGACTATAATTAGCCAGCTCCCCACCACTCCCCCCCCATTTTTTTAAAATTAATTTTATAACACAACTAAACAACATAAACAGAAAAAAACAAACAATACAAACAAATTCTTACCTTATCCTTATTTTTTCTAAACATAGTCAGTTGGGCTTCCCCAAGTCCCCCCTATCTGATTTTCATTTTACCTCATCTTTAGCAGTTTACATATATCATAATTTGTAACAATTTTTTAAAATCATGTTTACTTTTACCATAAAAATCTTCACATTTTATCACTTACAAATAATACTATTTTAAAATACACTATCTTGTACTTCTAACCCTACAGCCTATATCCACTTCCGAAGCTATTCTAAGATTTAAATATAAACATATTTTTTCAGATATTCTTTAAACTTTTCCCAATCTTCTTCCACCGTCTCCTCTCTCTGGCCTCAGAGTCTCCCAGTCAGTTCAGCAAGTTCCATATGTTCCATCATCTTCATCTGCCAGCTCCCCACCACTCATGAATGCTAACCTTGCAAGCCAAATGGGGGAGCCTGCCGGACCTCATTGTGCCCATAGGCGAGAGGTTGTCTCGCCACTGGCCTAATGGTGCCCCCCCCCCTTAGAGCTCTTGATTAACTTCTCACAGCCCTACACCGTTGGGAATTTCTGCTCCCTTCCAAAAATGCTCCTCCTAACACGGCTTGAGAAATGGCCCTTTTCACGTTGGCTGTGAGCGTGACTCTCAAACGCTGTCCTCCTCCTTTCGCAGTACGACCCCCAGTTTGGCGACGCCTTCTGGAACAGCAGTAAGCACGGCATCGTCAGCTATCTTCTGCGAATCATGACCAGCTGGGCCATCGTGTGCCACGTTTGGTACCTGCCGCCCGTGACGAGAGAGGTATCTGCTGTTTTTTGCATTGTTGGCGGGTTGGCACAGACACTGCAGTTTAATAAGCAGGAGGAACGGCTCATATTGGCGCCTTTGTAACTTTTGGGGGCAGCTAACCAGAGATGCTGTTTTGATTCTCAACCCCCTTCTCTCCCTCTCCTGGCTAAACTTGAGAAGTCCAGAGTTGACTTCCTTATTGCATTTATAGGTGGGTTACAGACAACTGCGTTCTGTTTCTTTCTTTGCAGGAAGGAGAAGATGCCGTTCAGTTTGCTAACAGGGTGAAGTCTGCTATCGCTCGCCAAGGAGGACTTACGGAATTGCCCTGGTGAGAAAAATGAGACTATGTCCGAGAGAGGAGAGAGAGAGAGAGAAATTAGAGAGTACTCTGCAAAAATTTAGTGCCTTAAATTTCAGCAGTGGGTGGTAATGACCTAGAATTCAGTTTGCCATTTGTCTTGAATGCTTTAGTTGAGATTCCTACATTGCAGGGAGAGGGCTAGTCCCTTCCAGCACTACAATTCTATGGTTCTAGAAGTAACAGTGCAAGCCTAACCAGGTCTGCTCAGAAGTAAACCCTAGTCAGTTCAATGGTGCTTGTTGTTGTTGTTTAGTCATTTAGTCGTGTCCGACTCTTTGTGACCCCATGGACCAGAGCACGCCAGGTACGCCTGTCTTCCACTGCCTCCCGCAGTTTGGTCAGACTCATGTTTGTAGCTTCGAGAACACTGTCCAACCATCTCGTCCTCTGTTGTCCCCTTCTTCTTGTGCCCTCCATCTTTCCCAACATCAGGGTCTTTTCCAGGGAGTCTTCTCTTCTCATGAGATGGCCAAAGTATTGGAGCCTCAGCTTCAGGATCTGTCCTTCCAGTGAGCATTCAGGGCTGATTTCCTTAAGAATGGATAGGTTTGATCTTCTTGCAGTCCATGGGACTCTCAAGAGTCTCCTCCAGTTCCATAATTCAAAAGCATCAATTCTTCGGCGATCAGCCTTCTTGATGGTCCAGCTCTCACTTCCATACATCACTACTGGGAAAACCATAGCTTTAACTATACAGACCTTTGTTGGCAATGGTGCTTACTCCCAAGTTAATGGTGTGGCGTTCGTACGGAACCCCCAGTCGTCTCACGGACTATTGACCCGTACACCACTAATCCGCTGCCACCAACCAGGTCCTCCCTGGTAAATCACTTAGTCTCAGTTGGGTTCTTAAGTTAACAAAGAAGAGTGTAGTTTAATGCAGACACAAATAAACTTTAACTGCATTCAAAACGTTGTTACTCTTTACCTTCTTAGTCTTATTTTTATCCTGTCTCTATCTCTTCTACCCACCCTCACACAAGAACCCATTGCACTAACTGTCTCTCTATTTCCAACTGTCTGCCAACTGCTTTCCCAACTGCCTTTCCCAACCAACCAACCCACTAAAACCAACCAACTAGCTAACTCAAACCTCGGGCTAAGCCCTTTTATAAACAGGTAGGCTCCGCCTCCGGCTTTCCTATTGGTCTAACTATTAACCCTTTCTCCCCCCCTGTACAGACATTTTCAAACGAACGGGCAAACGCCACAAATGGCACTTAGGATTGCAGTCTTAGTCTGCTCTGAGCACTGCCAACAAATGCAATAGTGTCCAGCTGAACAGATCTGCGATTGCAATGACTTTTGGTTGTGCAACGGCCTTCTCCTTTCACCTCTCTCTCCACATATCCCTTTAACTTCCCGCAATCCTTTGTAGCATATCACCTGGATAGCTCAGTTGGTTATAGCGTGGTGCTGATAATGCCAGGGTTGCTGGTTCGATCCCTGTGTGGGACAGCTGCATATTCCTGCATTGCAGGGGGTTGGCTTTCAACCCTCCAATTCTATGATTTGGGGAGAGAAGAGGGAGACGTTCTGTTGGGAATCCTCGCGCTAGCCAGCCTACTTAGGAGTGCCATCTTTATTCTGCTTCATACATTTCCCTTTCTGCCCTGTTTTTTTAAGGGACGGAGGTTTGAAACGAGCCAAAGTCAAGGAGACTTTCAAGGAAGAGGAGCAGAAGAACTACAGCAAGATGATAATAGGAAATGGAGCCTTGTCGAGTCGACCAGCAGACTCTGACTGATCTCTTCTGGCGGACGCTTTCCATGCCTCATCGCTATAGAAACGTGTGGATTGTCCCCCCCCCATTAGAAAAGAGAAGAAATCAAAGCACCAAGCGTGGGGAGAGCCAAGACATCGCTTTGTTTTCCCTTCAGCTGTGGCTTGTTGGTTTTGCCACTGTCCGCCGGTGAATTCTTGCTTTTGATGTCTGGGAAAAGAGGACTGGATTGAAGCAGAATGGAAAAATTCCAGGCAGCAACTTCTGAATGATTGCCCAAGGGGGATTGTAGATAATGATTATTATAATAATAATAGTAATAAAAATCGAGCCCAAGTTATGTAGTTTGTACAAATAACAGTCAACGTTGTTTAAGTGGTTATGGAAAGTTTGGGAAACTCCTCTACCGTCACTCTGATGGATTGCTGTGTGTTGATTGTTTGAATAGGTGGTCTAACATTTCGATGGCTTGTTTTCGATGGGTGTATTTTTGTTGTTGCCGAGAAGTTTTTAGGGAGGAAGTGAATGTCATTTAGTGTTAACCAGGATGAACAGCTAGAAAAATGAAACCTCGACTGGTGGCTGTTCTTGACAGTTGCAGTGAGGAACCAAAACAGCCTGCAGACATTGTTTTTATTTTTGTTCTTTTAAAAAGGTTGCTTCTTATAGAAATCCACTCCATCTTTCAGAAGAACTGTCTGGGAAAAATGTTTGATCCAGTCTGGGGGGCCACTGTCCCACCCCTTGCAGAACGGAGAAGAGCAAGTGGTTGAAACGCTCAATTTTTTAAAAAATCACTCTTCTCCCTTTGTAATAAAACGCTAAAAAGTCGGAAGGGGAAAAAATACTGGAGGTAAACATTGTCTGATGAAATGCACTTCTTCCATGGTCTGTGTTGGCAGCAGCCCTATATGTGTATCTGTCACTTCCTGTATGAGAAATGTTATGTTGCCTTATTGTAAATTGAAATAAATTCTATATTTCTACTAGTGGTAGCATTAACCCCCCCTTTTTTGCCCATTCCCCACAGCTGTGCATGGTCCGCACTTAAAATAGAAACCTGGGCCAAGGTCACCCAAAACATTCAGTTTGTATGAATTATGCACGTAAAATACCCTTTACATAATTTTCTCGGGAGAGACCAGAGAACTAATAGAAGCTCCTGGAGCCTCAGCCTCTATCAGTGGCAATTGTATTTCCCTTGTGGCTTTTGAGAGTTTGCCCCTGTGTTGCCACTCTCAAGCATATCTCCGTTTTTTAAAAAACTGAAGATGAGCTTCATTGGAAGCTGATTTCTGTAACCAAGATTGCATATTGTTTTGTGCTCATTTTCCCTGCCCCTGTTTTCTCCCATTTACCCCCCCCCCCCCAATGAAGACCTGTACACACAATACAGGGAGAGACATCTGATCACGGAGGCAGGTTTTATTTTTATTTTTTGATTCGGGATGTTTGTATTCCCACCCACCCCATAATTTCAGTTTGAAGATCTCCCAGAGTGTCTTCCGGCTCCGCAACCAGTCTAGAAGTGATGGCCACACGCTCTCCCTTTCAAAGCTCTTGGTTATTTGATCAACAGATTTTTGGGAGGCCATGGGGACCTTTTAATTGGATTGTTTTGCCACCTGGCGCTCATGGGAAACGCCCGTGGGTGCTGATGATGTGCACCTACCATTCACAAACAGATGCAAGGCTCTCCTTTTTTGGCATGCCACTTGCAAACAGCTTAAATGGGGCGAGGGTACCGATGCTGTAGATGTGCCAGCGAATTGGCCCTTCAGGCTGTATCTCTCTCTTTTCAAGGAGGGCATAGGTGGAATGGAGAACTCTTGCTGCTTGGATTCCAGAATGCAGCACAAGGGAAAGGAAGATCCTGTCCATCATAGCCCAGCCAGTTGGATGGGATTCCCTGCCTGTACTTTGTGGGGGCTGAGCAGTTGGCAGAGTGCAGGGCCTCAGCGTGGGCATCCCACGGTCTTGGGTACCATCACAGGGAAGACCCCCCTCTCTTATGTAGCCTCTGCAGACATGGGGCAAGGATGCTGATCCAGATCTTAAGCCTGGCAGTGTCTGCATAGGACATGCAGGGGCTGGAAGATTTGGAATGCACTCCTGCAAAATGCAGTGACCTCACAGATGGCTTTAAAGGAGAAATAGACAAAATTCATTGAGGGAGAATGACTACTAGGCATGATAGTTAGGTTCTAGTTCTACTGCTGAGCAACATGCTTTTGAAATACAGTGGTACCTCGGGTTACAGACGCTTCAGGTTACAGACTCCGCTAACCCAGAAATATTACCTCAGGTTAAGAACTTTGCTTCAGGATGAGAACAGAAATCGTGCGGCAGCAGCGGGAGGCCCCATTAGCTAAAGTGGTGCTTCAGGTTAAGAACTGTTTCAGGTTAAGAATGGACCTCCAGAAAGAATTAAGTTCTTAACCTGAGGTACCACTGTACCAGTTACTGGCAAACACAGGTGGACAGAGTCCAGTTTGGCATCTGATTGGCTACTCAGAGACGAGGATGCTGGACTAGGTGGACTTTGAATCTGATCCAGCAGGGCTGCTCTTATGTTGTTAAGGTGATAAAGGTAAAGGTAAATAACCCCTGTATGGTTAAATCCAGCTTAAGGTGACTGGGTTGCAGTGCTCATCTCACTCTCAGGCCGAGGAGCCAGTGTTTGTCCACAGACAGCTTTCCGGGTCATGTGGCCAGCAGGACTTAAATAGCTTCTGGAGCACAGAACACCGTGACGGAAACCAGAGCGCACAGAAATGCCATTTACCGTATTTTTCGCACCATTAGGGCGCACGACATAGGGCGCACCAGTTTTTTAGGGGGGGAATCAAGAAAAAATCTTCCCCCCAGCCCCAAAGAGCAGCGTACAGGGGGCGCCACAACCTCTCCCTGCCGGAGGCGGTTGCGCGCAGCTATGCAGCAAGCCAAGTTTGGCTTCCCCTTTAGCCCCATGCAGCCTCTCCTTGCCGGGAGATGCTGCGCAGGGCTAAAGAAGCCATAGCCCCGTGCAGCCTCTCCTTGCGGGGGGTTGCGCGCAGCTATGGAAGAAGGCAAGGCAGCGAGCGGGATGGATCCCGCTCGCTGTTTTGCCTTCCCCTTTAGCCGCGTGCAGCGTCTCCTTGCGGAGGGGTTGCGCGCAGCTATGGAAGAAGGCAAGGCAGCGAGCGGGATGTATCCCGCTCGCTGTTTTGCCTTCCCCTTTAGCCGCGCGCAGCGTCTCCTTGCGGAGGGGTTGCGCGCAGCTATGGAAGAAGGCAAGGCAGCGAGCGGGATGGATCCCGCTCGCTGTTTTGCCTTCCCCTTTAGCCGCGCGCAGCGTCTCCTTGCGGAGGGGTTGCGCGCAGCTATGGAAGAAGGCAAGGCAGCAAGCGGGATGTATCCTGCTCGCTGTTTTGCCTTCCCCTTTAGCCGCGCGCAGCGTCTCCTTGCGGAGGGGTTGCGCGCAGCTATGGAAGAAGGCAAGGCAGCGAGCGGGATGGATCCCACTCGCTGTTTTGCCTTCCCCTTTAGCCCCGCGCACCCTCTCCTTGCCGGGAGACGCTGCGCAGGGCTTTCCTGGCTTTTCTGGGAGGTGGGGGAATTCCCCCACCTCCCGCAAAACCGGCAGAAGCCGCGCGCACTTTAAAAGGGCTGCACGGCTTCTTCTGGCTTTCCTGGGAGGTGGGGGGATTCCCTCACCTCTCGCAAAAGCCCGCAGAAGCCGTGAGCTCTTTAAAGGGGCTGCACGGCTTCTCCTGGCTTTTCTGGGAGGTGGGGGAATTCCCCCACCTCCTGCAAAACCGGCAGAAGCCGCGCGCACTTTAAAAGGGCTGCACGGCTTCTTCTGGCTTACCTGGGAGGTGGGGGGATTCCCTCACCTCTCGCAAAAGCCCGCAGAAGCCGCGCAACTCCTTTAAAGAGATCGCGGCTTCTCCTGGCTTTCCTGGGAGGTGGGAGAAGGGACTGATGCGGCCAGTCAGACCCTTCTCCCTCCTGTGGAAAAGCCCGCAAGAGCGCACGGAGCTTGTGTGCGGCTCTTGGGGGCTTTTCCCGCCTGCCTCCCCCCCTGCATTCGCTCCATAGGACGCACACACATTTTCCCTTGCTTTTTAGGAGGGAAAAAGTGCGTCCTATGGTGCGAAAAATACGGTACCTCTCCACCGCAGTGGTACCTATTTATCTACTTGCACTGGCATGCTTTTGAACTGCTAGGTTGGCAGGAGCTGGGACAGAGCAACGGGAGCTCACCCCGCCATGGGGATTCGAACCGCTGACCTTCCGATCGGCAAGCCCAAGAGGCTCAGTGGTTTAGACCACAGCGCAACCTGTGTGGATCAGGTGCAGTCAGAAGTTTCCTGTTGAGCTCTTAATTCCACTTAATTGACCACTGATTTCCATGCAGCATTTCAAACTTGGTGAGGAATATCTTTGGGATACCTGTTGACCTCTTGTGCTATGCCAGTGTGGCATAATGGTTAGAGTGTTGGACTAGGACCTGGGAGACCAGGGTTCGAATCCCCCACACTCAGCCATGAAGCTCGCCGGGTGACCTTTGGCCAGTCACCATCTCTTAGCCTAAACCTACCTCGTACGGTTGTCATGAGGATGAAATGAAGAGGAAGAGGAGAACCATGTACACCGCTTTGAGATCCTTGGAAGATAAAGGCGGTATTTAAACGTAAAAAAATAAAAGAAAAACTACAAATAAGTAATGGTGAAATGGCAGGAGAACTGAAGGGCTTTCCCCTTTTTCAATTGCCTGCAGTCTGGCTTCTGCACTGGTAATAAGCATAACAGACACAGCAAGAATGGGGAAACCGCATGTTGGACTACAATTCCCATCAATCTGATGTTGGACTACAATTCCCATCATCCCTTATTTTAATTTTTGTGTTTAAAAAAAAGAAAAAAAATTCTTGGAGATTTTAAAAATATCAACTGTTTTACAGTAAAAATGCTTTTGTAAACTTTCCTCATCTTTGACCAGTGGTCATGCTAGCTGGCATTGATAGGAATTGTAGTCCTTTAGCTGGTGGTGTGCAATTGCCATCCTTCCCATCCTTGTTTTAATGGGTTACTAATGCTATGTAAAACTGGTTTAAAGAAAAGACTCCAACATATAGCAATGCGCTTTCAGGACAGGGCTTTGAGGCAGAAGTCTGAGGTCCTACTCTGTGGCGAGGCCTCTAGGGTCAGCAGCAGGGGCTTAACACATTTTGAAGTAAGCAAAGGGCCACAGCTCAGTGGCAGGGTGCATGTCTTGCATGCCAAAGGTCTCAGGTTCGATCCCTGGTGTCTCCTTGTAGGGCTGGGAAAAGTTCTTCCCTGAAACCTTGAAGAACTGCTGCCCCTGAAGGTAGACAATACTGAGCTTGATAGACTCCTATAAAGCAGTTTCCCATGTTTCTATATTACTGTGCAAATAATATACGTACATTGTGGAACGGTCTCCCTTGGGAGGTTGTGGACTCTCCTTCATTGGAGGTTTTTAAGCAAAGGTTGGATCAGGGGTCAGCAAACTTTTTCAGCAGGGGGCCGGTCCACTGTCCCTCTAACCTTGTGGGGGGCCGGACTATATTTTGAAAAAATAAATAAATGAACAAATTTCTATGCCCCACAAATAACCCAGAGATGCATTTTAAATAAAAGGACACATTCTACTCATGTAAAAACACACTGATTTCCGGACCGTCTGCGGGCCAGATTGAGAAGGCGATTGGGCTGGATCTGGCTCCCGGGCCTTAGTTTGCCTACCCATGGGCTGGATGGTCAAGGATGCTTTAGTTGAGATTTCCCTTCCAACTCTAAAAGTCTACGATTGCCATCTAAAGAGCACAGGGCCGTCTTAAGCATATCTGGCGCCGTGGTGCAAACATCCCTCTGTCCCCTCCTCCTTTCCCAGAATTGACCTTTTTTTAGGGCTGGAGGAGGTGGACAGTGGCTGGAGGGTGGCTCCTCTAGCAGGCAAGAGGCTCCCCGGACTCTCGCC